GAGTAAACAAGACGAACAAACCCAAAAACCTGGCCTGCTCATCATTGTGAACACCCACAGATGGCGCAGAATGGTAGAGATTTAGTTTTTTCCCAGCACGTCACATGAACAAAACAACAGTCCTCTTGTATTGAGCGTCTAATGTACTTGTCTCTGTGGTCAGACAGTTAAAAACAGGCTGATGAAAGTGATCATGAACAGGTGTGACCTGCCAGATCACAGGTGTGGTAGTGTGGTGTGGGTTTGGCCTCTGGTGGTGCTGATGTAGTGCTGTCTAGTCTGGTGTTTCATGTCAAGATGAAAGCAAACCTTTCCTTCAGAAGGTGTCCTGGCCTTGAGTTACAGCCAGTAGTATAGCAGTGTCTGTTCCGGAGCTTTATAGGCATCAGACATCAGTGGATCAGAGGCCACCAAAAAGGTCAATGACTAAGTTTGCATGCACACAATAGCCGACTACATTCTTTGTCTATGAGACTGGACCAAACCAAGACGTTCACATGAGCTGTGTCCTAGGGTTTCAGTCATGTGATGTTTCTGCTGTGGCAGCCATATTTGGGACCGAATTTCTAGTCTGTTGGTTGTCTAATGGTTTTCAGAATGTGTTCTAATAGTCTCTAGTGGTTTTCTGATGGTTTCTAATAGTTTTTTGAATGTTTCATAATCGTTGTGCAATGGTTTTCTGAACGTTGTCTATTGGTTGTCTAATGGTTTTCTCAAGGTTGTCTATTGGTTGTCTAATGGTTTTCTGAAGGTTGTCTATTGATTGTATAATGGTTTTCTGAAGGTTTTCTAATGGTTTCCAATGGTTTTCTAATGGTTTCTAATGGATTTCTAATGGTTGTCTTTGTTTTCTGAAGGTTGTCTATGGGTTTTCTAATGGTTGTCTGAAGGTTTTCTAATGGTTTCTAGTGGTTTTCTAATGGTTGCCAAATGGTTGTCTATTGGTGTTCTGAACTATTGGTTGTCTAATGGTTGTTTAATGGTTGTATAATGGTTTTCTGAAGGTTTTCTAATGGTTTTAAATGGTTGTCTAATGGTTTTCTGAAGGTTGTCTATTGGTTGTCTAATGGTTGTATAACTAGAGGTGAAAGACAGCTAAAATGACTCTCCTTATTTTGAAAGAGAAAAACGTTGCCTGGACAAAGTCGATAAAATAGTCTGAGATCCTTATACAGTTTCCCCTGAACTCCTGATTCCACTTAAACTGACATTTGTCAGCGCCTCTCCCTATTCTGGAGGGTCTCTCACAGCATTTAACAGCACAGAAGCCCACTGGCTCCTCACGTCAGGGTGGGTAAAGGATCCCATGGTGTTCATATAGAGGAGAAACACTCTGTCATCATAGGAGGGTAACAACATCAGCTAATTAACACAGATGAGATCAATGCTGGCCTTTAGATAACTTTAGCTGATGTTATCAGCCGAGAGATGAACAGTCGCCCCCTAACGGAGCTGCAGACAGCCGGTATAACTTTACTCTCTGTTTCTGATTTAAATGAGGTTTGAATGGAGAAACATAAGCGTTAAATATCAGACTGAATGTCGTGGGTCTGAAAACGACGTTGTGTTTCGACAGACGTGATTCTGTAAGTTTGCTGGTGCAGTTAGTTCAGAGTTCAGCTCCAGTCCTGAAACCCCTGCACTGCATAACTGTGGTTTCCTGGTTAAAATACCTGATATTATTAGCTAATTAATCCCTTCTTGAGCTGAACGAGGTGTGAACAGCAGAGAGGAACACTAAACTGTACAGTGCAGGGGCTCCAAACCTGGAGTGAAAACACTGAATTAAAGGTTTGCGTGTCTCTCGTCTCTCGGCTCCTGTCGCGTCTTGCAGGGGAATCATTCACAAAGCACAGCTGATTGAAGGCGTCGTGCAGCGCACGAGTTTTAATAAATATAGGGAACCTGGAGAAAGGAGGAGCAAGACATTGTAGACCACCAAAACTGATGTGGGATGACCGGTTCTGAAGACATGCTAATCCAATTCATCCAAAGGTATTGGATGGAGCTCCACCAGTCCAGAGAATATAGTCCCGCTGCTGCACATCCCAGTGCTCCATTCAATACCTTTGGGATGAGCTGGAGTGCCATTTGTGACCCAGAACTAATCCAACATCAGCACCTGACCTCACTAATGCTCTTGTTACTGCATGCAATCAAATCCTCACAGCAATGTTTTAGCATCTAAGCCTTCCCAGAGGCTGTTACAGTCACACTCCCTATTAATATCCTTGATTTCAGAAGACACAATGGATAAGCAAGTGTCTGCAAACTTTTGGACATGCAGTGTATCGCAGATCGTCCGGTCAATATAGGCATGTTTTAATTGTGCTAAGCTCAGTGCAAGACCTTGGTTGGACCATGACGATCAACCTGTGCTGCTTGTATGATCATCTCAGTTAGTCTTATATCAATATTGAACCCTTCGTGTTTATGTAAACATGGGAATAAAACAGTAAATGGGGGTGAAGAGAACTTACAAAACATTACTGGTCATTTTGCCAAAGCTACTGACAAACTGACACCACCAATATAGGTATTAAATGCAGATGTAACTGCCAGTAAATAAATAAAATTAATCCATAATCAAATAAAAAGTTAACAGCAAGCATAACTGTTACACTCACATGAATTAACCACAGTGTTATTTTAGGCCTCCCTGATCAATAACGCAATCAGCACTGATTGTGCTTTGCAAGGCCATTTTTAGCATAAATTACTCAGGAGGGACGTCTACTAATCTATACAGCTCTAAAAATCAATAATCTGTAATCTCCGCTTAAAACTATTCCAAGGAATAGTGCGAAATCACCACCCACTTGCCTCAACCATGTTAAGTGATCTCAAATTGCGCATGTGATTTCAGACACACTGTTATCTACCAAAATACACAAAAGTATGTAACTTACCTAAAAACAGCAGCCTGAATTCTGTCCATACAGCGTGTGTTTTTATCTGGGTGATGATTTAGGTAGGCTATTTGGGTCATTCTACAGAAACGTCCACTTTTTCTCTCCATAGGAGTCACTGGTGTTACTGATCGTCATTGGTGTTCCACATAATAAAGGAACACCAGAGACATTTTTAATGAACAATGCATTTTACTAAATGGCTGCTACAGAACATCAAACCACATGTTGTCAATCATGGAATATCCACTAAAATATGGAATTTAATCCATTTGTATTCTATTTTTTCACAGTTACCTGAGAATAAAGTAGGTCGTTTCCATAGAATGCCTCATTTGCAAGATGCTAACTGTTGTGTATAAGCTTCCCTTACTTATTAGCTACCTTAGCCTCGTAGCATCAGTGCAAAACTAAAGAAGCAAACTTCAGTCACCAAACATGTCTTGGCTGATTGACTACATTTGAGGTAAGTGGGAAACTGTGTTAAATTGTTTTTGTTGCTAAACTATTTCTTTAGAGGGGCATTTCAGCCTAAAACTAGAGTTTAATATGTCATTTGTTGTGTTGTGTAGTATTCTGTAGCTCAGCATTGCATCACCAAGCCTCAGAATTTAGGATTTTGTACTGCTTTTTTTTGTTTTTGTTCATCAATGTTCTCACACTACATTATTCAGCATGCATTGTGTACATTATACAACCATTTGGAATCTCTACAGTGTCAACCAATTCTGACTGCTTGCCTAACCACTGAGCTATGGGCTACAACCAAGCTCTTACCCTGAACCTCTGACTCTCTTACCTTGTCAAACCAAATCATAAAGAAAATGTTTCTGTCTTTACTTATGACAAAGGCTGCGTTCACACAGCAGGTAAAAGTGGCCCAAATCTGATTTTCTCACCAAATTTGATTTCTTTGTTTGGCTGTTCACATTATCTTTTAAATGTGATCTGTATGTGACAGTCTGAACAGATCAGCTCCTAAACTGACCCAGATGCGCAAAAGATCAATGCTTCATGCTGTTTCACGGCTCATCCAGAGGTTAACAATCATGACTGCCAACGAACGCCAGTCGCTCCCGGAGGATCAGCCTCATCTTTACCAGCATCACAGGAGCCATCATGAAGCTTCACTGACTGACAGCTGGGCTCACCACCCAGAATGTGTTGGAGCCGTAAAAAGGGCGCGGTCACTTCTTTGGTTCGCGTCCTCGGATTCTTTAAACTTTGCTTTCAGACTTTTAACTGTTCTTTGACGCTGCAGCCTCGTTCTCCTGCGGCCGCGTTCGGTCATTTCTTTCTAAATCTCTTCGGACACTGAGGGTTTTGGATCAGTCTCTTCTAATCTTTTAGTACAGAAACATCAGCCCAGATGTTTATGAGTCTCAGCAGCATGATATAATGACAAATGTCGAGTTGGATTGACGTAAAATTTGCATGAATTCCGATCTGGCTGTTCAGACTGAGTTGCATTGCTGCAGATTGGATACGTATCAGATTTCAGTACCACATAAGAACGTGTCTCAAATCGGAATTGAAAATGTCAGATTCAGTGTGTTTATCTGTTCACACTGACACACAGACACACATCTGTGTCACACATGAGGAAAAAGATCAGATTTGGGCCACTTTTTGGGCCAAGATTGATACAAAAGACACTATTTTACCCTTTCAGACAGAGAAAAGAAGCCAAAATGACAGTTAGCTAAAACATTTCAAAACAGCCCCCAAAAATCTACAACAAACCAGCTGTAGTTTTTTAAAAGCTCCTCCCACCTTCAATATCCATCATCAGAAGGGGGTTTTGTTAGTCTTTAAACTGGAGACCACTGTGACACCACTGTAAGATGCAAGAAAGCATGTCTACCCCAGATTCAGCAATGTTTACATTTGTCATTTTGACTGGAGTGTCCACTTAATAGTCATCAGATATATTATGACTTTCTAATTTCATCCCCTCATTTCTAAAAATATCTTCCTAGCAAGCCCCTCTAGATCATCTCCACTGATCGCTTTCAGTGCTTTTCAACTTCAGCTCAGCACAAAACGTCCCGTTTAACCGGCGGTCAAATCTTTAAGGGTGTCTTTACTCACCTATGCTGGTGGGGAAGATGTCCTCGTTGTTGATCTGCACTTCGATCCAGTCCATCAGCAGGTTCATGTACTGCGGGGCGGGCAGCGCCGTGGGCTTTTTGTACTTGTGCTCGTCTTGCCAGCGGTACTCGTAGCGCGGCCCTCCGGACATCACCGGGCAGCTCTTCTCCGTGCAGAACTCGCACACGGTGCCGTAGATGAGGTTGATGCGGTTGAAGAAGTCCACCACGTGCACGGCCACCCAGTCGTTCAGGTCCTCGCCCGGCGGCAGCTGCACGGCCGCCCGCAGGTCTACGCCCGAGTGCAGCGACGCCTGAGCCTTCTTGTGCAGCTCGAAGCGCTGCGTACCCGGCTCAAACTTCCGCTTGGGCCGGAACGTCTTGTCCTTGTTGAAGACTTGCTTGAGGGCGATGGACATCCCTCCTGTGCTAAGGTCTAGCAAAACTAGGAGTGAAAAATGATGATGACCACGAGGTGGGAGAGGAAGGGGTCTACGAGAGAGGAGGAAAGGGAAGGAGGGATAAAGGGGGATGGATGATGGATGGGTGAATAGAGAGAAATGGTGGGAGTCCCAGTGGACAGAAGATAATCACGATGATTTGAGGTTTCTTCAGCTGATGGTGGTCCTCAAGGTTATGGCATGCTCACCTGAAAGAAAGAGTGGACAAAGTTGATTAGGGATGGGTATTGTTAGAATTTTAGAGATACTATTGCAAGCTTAAAAAGAGGTTCTTCGGGTAATACATAGAACCATGACAACTGAAAGAACCATTTGAATGCTTAAATGGTTCTCTGCATGGTTAAATGTTTCTTCTCCATGATGGAGCTCTTTAAAGACTGTTTTAAAAACGGTTCTATAGCATCAAAAAGGATTCTGCTATTGCTACAAACCATATAACCTTTGCTTGTGCTATACAGAACCTTTTTAGCTATGAGTGTCTTCTTATCAATACACTCTCAGAAATAAAGGCACTGAACTGTCACTGGGGCAGCTCCCCTATTGTCACTGGGGTGGGACCCTCAACGGTCCATCTCAGTACCTTTAGTCAGGGAACATAACTGAACCATAATCCACTGAAATGATATGTTCTAAGCTGTACTGACTCCACACACCCCGTCTCGTCTCCAGGCTTTTATTTTACTGCTCTGTTTTAAAACATTCGGTTATGAAAAGGTACAAATACGAACTTTTCACCTGGAAAAACTTATTTAAGGTTCACAATCAGACCTTAAAACCACTGTTGGAGCTTTGAGGGAACATTTACATTGTTTGTACCTTGATGAGCGAAAAATGTACCTGCAAAGTACCCTCATTACTAACAGTGTACTACTTATCAATCTTCCATCAAAACATAATCTCTTCTCTAAAACATCTACCGAGTTTTAATGGCAACATCATGGACAGTGGGCGTGGAAAACTAAATATTGACCAATAATATCATGTTTCAGCTTCATTAGTTTGATAGAATTTTACATTGTTTTTTAAGTCATCATTTTCATGTTTTCGTTACTGTTCTCTCACTACAACACCCAGCATGCAGCACACAAGTACATCATGTAACTATTGGCTACCTCTGTGCTGTCAACCAATTCTGACAGCTAGCCGCTAAGCTACTGGCTAAAAAACACAACCAAGCTAGTGCTCTGACCTCAGTCTTCGAATAAAATCAAACTGAGGTAAGGTCTCTAAACAGCCAAGTAGCTAAAACATTTCAAAACAGCCCCACCAGCCCCACCTATCATCGAGAGAAACTGCTCAGCTAGCACAGAGACCATCTCTGATACCTCAAAAATTTACCATTTCCCAAGGCTAACTCTAAAATATATAGTACATATAAATAAATGTTCATTTTTAATAAATGTTCATTTTTTGACGCCTTAAATTAATATGTTAACATTTCTATTCTCAGTTTATTGGAGTATTCAACTTTAAAAAACCTCAATATTTGTTTAATGAAAGTTGTGCTTTATCCCGTTCCAACCTATTGCTGTAGTGACAAGCCAGAATGTTAGCCCCAAGCTAGCACACTAGCCACAAGCTAACATGCTAGTCACAATACAATGATATGATATGATACAATGTGATGTGCTTCACTACAGTTTGATACAATATAATATGCTACGATACCATTTGATACAATACAAAAAGGTGTGATACAATTCAAAACAACACAACAGTACAACAGTGGACATTATCAGTACCCCAGTTTTCACTAAGAGCTGAACCGTTTTGGGAAAATATCAACCTGCGATTTTTCTGACCGCTACTGCCACTGTGATTTAAATGTGATTATTTCCTATAATTTAAGGTCCAGGCCTTTTCTCCCCCTCAAGACTTGAATGTTGATTGTAGCATGCCAGACTGCCAGTTCAAAAGCTCTGTGATATTACGATAAACAAAATAAAATCCCCGCTTAAAACTTGTGAAGACAATGCTGAATAATGCAGGATTTATCCTAAACACAGCTCCTGTGATTTGAAAAATGACTCTTTCAAATTCTGATTATGATACAGCCCTAGTTTTACATGAATGTATCGTGAGGCATCGATCTCATGGTGGCGACTGCATCAATTTTGGAACCTTAGAATCCATTATAATTAATTATGACAATATTTTATAAAGTATGCAATTATTTTTGGGCCAAAATAAAAAAACGGGCGGCACGGTGGCGCAGTGGGTAGCGCTGTCGCCTCACAGCAAGAATGGCCGATGATTCCCGGCTGGGCGACCAGAGTTCTTTCTGTGTGGAGTTTGCCTGTTCTCCCCGTGTCTGTGTGGGTTTCCTCCGGGTACTCCGGTTTCCTCCCACGGTCCAAAAACATGCAGTCAGGCTGATTGGACATGCTGAATTGCCCCTAGGTGTGAATGTGTGTGTGACTGTGTCTGTCTGTCTGTCTGCCCTGCGATGGACTGGTGACCTGTCCAGGGTGTATCCTGCCTTCCGCCCAATGACAGCTGGGATAGGCTCTGGCACCCCACCGCGACCCAGAAGGATAAGCGGTTTAGATGATGTATGTATGTAACAAAAAAACCATAAAAACAAACAAACTAACAAACAAAAAACTTGGGTGTACTGTATCGGCTGGCCCGAAGAGGCCCTCACATACTTGTTTATATTACGTCATGAGGACCCAAATACTCTTTCTCAAAATCACCAAAACAAAAAATTAGGTTTCACAATTAACAATAATTTAAGTACGTTCGTTACTGCGGTTAAAACATATCAGCAACTATGTATTATTAGTCAGCCACTTGTGCGCTATGATCTGCGATTGTCCACTCGCTCCACTGGTCAGATTTGTATACAACTGTTACCCAAAGAATGATAATCAAATCCAAAGAGGCTGTTTTATACTCATTTATAACCTTAGGGCCTTTCTTGAAGTAGATGCGGAGTGTCTGCAGGCGGGTGTGGGGCTGTGAGTAATCGTGTGTGCTTTCAGATTCGGGGTCCGAGAGCTTTATACATACCCGCAGGGCAGATGAGCAAGAGTGTGTATCAGCAAAACCCAGGACAGCTGTTCTGCTACTGCCGGTCGAGTCAGAACAGGATGGTTGTGTAATAGAAGCTGAGTTATTACTGTCAGCGCAGACATGGTGAGGCAGAACTCTCACATGTGCACTGCAGGGTTATTGTTTGCACTGTTTAAACAGTAGTGCAGTGGATACGTGCTGATGTGTTCCTACACGCTCGGCCTCAGCGCGGTGGATAGATTTCTCCTAAAGTACAGTTTGAGAAGTTACACTTACTAGTTTAACCCCTGTGTGGTGTTGATGTGTTTGTTACTCAGTGGTCTGGTGGTCCCACCGCATTATTGGGTTTTTAAATCAATACAGCCAAAACAGTTTATGGAAAAATACCAGATGTTTAAAATATCACAAGTGTCCAGCGTAGGGTTCTCCTTTAGCAGCTGTAGCCAGTAAGCAGCCTGTCCATGTTGTCCACTCTCACACACACACACACACACACACACACTAACAGCAGGCCATGTAGGAGGAGAACAGAGTGAAGGACACAGGACCTCCACACTTTCACTCCCCGCGGGTTCACCCAACACCACATGTATAATATAAATGTGTGGGGGGTGAACAGAGTGAAGACACTGAACATGGGTTGTTTTATATGTTCTTCACAGAAAATGAGCAAAGACCAAAAATCTGAGGCTGAAATAATAATAAATCACATCATTTTTTCTTTTAGTAAACATTTTAAATGGGTCCCACAGACCTGAACACCACACAAGGGTTAAAACCTAAATGCTTCATGATTATTTTTTGAAAATAAAGGTTTTCTTCTTTTACGCTGGTGTTTATTTGACGCTACAGTCAAACTTTTCCTAATTTGTGACTTCCTTAAATAGAAATTCCATTTCTATTTCAGAAAAATTCTGCATACTTCCAGCGTTGAACTGTAAACAAAGTCATTCAGGGTGGTTTGATGTGAAACTGCATTCTAGAGAAACTTACCAACCAGATTTCTTTACAATGGTGGTAATGGGACCTAGAGGACGTGAAGCCTACAGTGCAAATAAAACCATGTTACTCTCCAAAATGACATATTTACAGCCAAGATGGTGAAAATAAACATAAAATGTTGCGGCTGCCAAGGTGGTTTGATTTCTGTTGAAAGGACAAAATGGCTCTTCTTAACGTTTGGGTTGCCGACCCCCGGGACAAGCCCCACAGTCCCTCTGTAGCTACACCCCAGCTTTGAAGAACCTCTGTATTATGTAAAGGTTCTGTCCCAATAAAAAGTTTTTCCCAGGAACCAATTAGCAACCTTTATTTTTGAGAGTTAACTGTGAATATTGAGCCCCAAAAATGCTTAATTTACTGCAAAACATTTACAGTACACTGTAATTTATGAGGGCATGTTGGTTTTTCCACATCATTTGTTTCCAGAACAGCCTAACAGCTCTGAGATCCAGAGCAGATTTGACTCAAATGGTTGTTTTTGTCTGCGTATTGCATGAACAGGTCGTTCTCAGGTGCACACAGTAACATTCCCACGGTGTGAGGGAACTGCATTAACTGCACCAATCATCAGTAGATCCCCATTAGGGATAATTACTGTTTATAGGTGTTTTGTCGCCACTTTGTGAGTTATTTCTGACCTCATTAGCCGACAAGGGAATCTTGACAGGCAAGAAAGAAAAATCCCCTCCTTCAAAACTACACTGAGAACTAAAAGCAAAAGTGTTTTCGGGGAAGCGCGGTGCTGTCTGGGAGATTCTGGCTAAGGCTTGGAAAGTCTCGGAATTCCCCCGCCTGTTTGACTTGTGCTTCAGGTGCTGTGTACACATGATACACGGGGTTTAGGTTTTGTGAAGTGAGAGATTATTCTTGGCAGTCTTGTTAGTAAAGCCCCATTTCTGCATGAGTATGAACTCACTGACATGCTAGCTAAACCAGACGCTAAAGAACTTTGCTAATCCAGGTGCTACACCAGAGCTGGTTTATGAGGAGCCTGGCCTCTTCCTATTTCCCCCATTATATATCAAAAACAGGACCGCTAAACAGCAGAGGGCGCCCGTGAGCGAGTCCTAAATGAATGGGAGTGAATGGAGCTCAACGGCTAAAAACTAAAGTTAAAATAGTTTCTAATCACTGAACCAGAACTTTCCTTTAATTTTAGAAAGCAGAAGGA